CTCATGTCCAGAGAACATGTGGGGATTGGGTGGCATCCATGGATCCTACTTTTGGACTTTGCCCTGGGTTAGATAGTTTTCTGTGGCTTCAATCTGTGATCATTCGGCATGTGTTTATTCCTCAGCCATAACATTTATATCACACTTTTTCCTTGTCCAAAGAACCTAGGGTGGTTTACATAGTCTCAGTTTTATCCCCATGACAGCCCTGTGAGGTAGGCTAGGCTGAGGGTCCTTGAGTGTCCCAGGGTCACCTGGTGAGTGTCATGGCCGGGCAGGCAGGCGAATCCAGGCCTCCTTGGTCCCAGGGCAACAGTCCGCTGGATCTGTGTGGCTTCCGTGCGATTTCGCAGCGTGCCCCTTTGTGGGAGGAGAGAAGTCTAGGAGTCTAACCATGGATAGCTGGGACTCGGACTGAAAGGCTCCAGGGACAGGAGTATGGCATGAAGCAGAGAAGGAACAGAAGCAGGCAAGCCACGGAGCAGGCCTGGAAGAGCGTTTAAGCAGCTGGGTAGCGTTGCAGGACCTTGGAGAGCTCCCAAGGGCAGCTGGGGTTATCCCAGTTCTTCTAGTGCGCTGCCTTCCAAATACGATGAATGCCATGAAAAGAACGAGGCTGGAGGCTGGGAAAAAATACAAGCTACACCTCGTGGTTGCTAGGTGACCGAAGGGCTCAGCAGCAGGGTGGGAGGCAAGCCCAACATCTGCATGTGGCATTCACGGCCAGCTGTCAAAGTCTCAGGACTTTGCTGGGCCAGACCCTGGTACCTGCCCTGGCCTTTCTTAAATGATATTTATTTCTTCTGGAGTGCTCTATTCAGCATCAGGAAGCTGGGTCTGGGAGCCCCCATTTGCATTTCCCAGAATGCCCCTTCTGGGTCTGGGAGCCCCCATTTGCATTTCCCAGAATGCCCCTTCTGGGTCTGGGAGCCCCCATTTGCATTTCCCCAAGGGCTTCACTACAAGGTGTTGTGGGTATATTATTTACCTCTTTGAGTTTACCCCATCTTTTTCCCAAGAAAGATGGCACTCAGGGTAATAAAACTTCATGAATACAGTAATAGAAGAAATGTAATATGTAAGAAACATAAATCTCAATGGCAATGTAAGACATATAAAAGCAATAGAAGAAAGGAGAGCCGGTGTGGGGTGGTGGTTCGAGTGGGGACCCAGGAGATCTGGGTTCGAATCCCTGCTCGCCATGGAGCCAAGTGGGTGACTCTGGGCCAGCCACAGTCTCTCAGCCCAACCTACCTCACAGGGTTGTTGTTGTGGGGATAACATTGAGAGCAAGAGGAGGAGAATGATGTAAGCTGCTCTGAGTTCTTTAAAAAGGAAAAAGTGGGATATAAATGTAATAAATAAATTAATCTATCATGTGTGTTAATTCAGGGGAGGATTCCTGGCATTGGTCCATTCTGGAAATGGCTGTTTGTAGCTCGGCAGAAGCCCCAGTGGCACAGGGTGGCCATGGATCCTCCTGAATGGAGGTGTTCTCTATTTGGAAAAAATGTTCAGTCCAAGTGTGGTTTAGAGATCAAGAACCCTCAGGAGGACCTGCTGGTGGGCCTTGAAGTTGTCTATCAACAGTGAATACCTGGACAGAGGACTGAGCCAGGCATGTCAGCCACCTAGCCAGAGTTAGAGACAGATGCAGATTTGGATGTTGCTTTCAAAACAGGTACCCTGCTCACCCCTTGGAATGCAACCAAGGGTCATGCAACCTTGGAATGTGGCCGGTTTGGAGGGAAAGCCGTATGAGGCGAGGCTGAGGGAACTGGGTCTCTTCAGTCTGGAGAAGAGGAGACTCAGAGGGGATCTGTTGGCAACATGCAGGTATGTGAGGGGGTGTCACATGGAGGCGGGTAGAGACCTGTTCTCCCCTGCAGAGGAGGGCTGGACGCACTCCAACGGAGCAAAGCTCAGGGAGCCAAGGTTTCGTTTGGATGCCAGGAAGCACTTCCTGACAGTCAGGACCACGAGGGTGTGGAATAGGCTCCCACGGGAGGTGGTTGAGGCCCCACAGGTGCGGGTGTTCAAGGAGAGGCTGGATGTGCACTTGGTGGGCATGTTGTCAGCGGAGCCGGCTGGAGTCGTGGGTCAGACTAGATGGCCTGGGAGACCCCCTTCTGATTCGCTCTGTTTCTATGTTTCTTTGTTTCTAACCCCAAGCAAATGTCCATCCCAAATGTTAAAAGCTAGCAAACATGCACGCACTGAGCAGAGAGAAGTTGTGCAAATGCCATGTTTGATTGCTGCTCACTTTGCACAGAGCGAGCAGTGATTGCAAATGGCAGCCGGGTGTGAGAGGAACCCTGAGTGCTGTTGGATTATCCTGGCCATCCCGAACACCACTCCTTCGCCAGTTCCTCTTCCTCCTCCTAGCTTTGCATTTATACCCTGGCTTTTTGCTTCTTGCCATGTGACTTGCTCACGGCATTCTACGCTGTAGTGAAATGTTAACTGTATTTGAATTATTTTATTATTTCTATTTAAATTATGCTAAGTGTTCCTACGTTTGCATCTGTCTCTATAAATTGACACAGGTAACATGCATTTTATCCATTGCGTTCTGTGTTGGTGATGCATGCCCACTTTTCAGCAATCCACGGTGGACTTCAAAGGGAGCCTTCTTAAACCTGGAGCTGCCCCCGCGTTGGTGAGCTGGAGGAGCCAAAGAGCCAACGAGTGCTGGGTTGTGTGTGCCTCAGGAATTCACTGCCATTTGTCACACCGAATCCGAAGAAAATCCCACTCAGTCTTTCCAGAGCGCACCTGGCGTCATGTGCTGCCAGTCTGGGCAAGATGGCAGTGAGGGAGAGCAACCCTCATCATTGCTTTTGCTGCAAACAGCGCCCAGCCCTGATTCCCGAGATGCCGTGTCCCATACGTAAAACCAGGCCTGTCGCCTCCATCTTCCTTCCAGAGGTCAGGGCTTGCACTGAGATGTGAAACCCAGGAATTAGATTTGACTCTCATGAGTGACTGAAGTTTTCTCTTTAGAACCTGCCATTCAGATGCGTCTCATCTCTCGGGCTCATGAGCGTTTGCCTGGAGATGGAGGTGGGGGTGTGTGTGGGGGGGTGAGAGTCATCATGGACATCTTACAGCAGGTTTACTCTCTTCCTGCCTGGGGCAGGACACGTGAATTTCCCAGCACGCAGCTGTTCTCCTCCGTGCAGCACAGGGCTGCGGTGCCTCTTTCAGCCTGCGGCTGAATCCAGTTTCTGAGATGCCCCGGGGGTTGCTCTACAACGGAGGATGGGGCTGAGGGAAAGGGGGTTGGGCAATGCTGAAATGGGCAGGGCCCGAAAACAGGGGCAGAAGAGGCAATTCAGTCCTTCAGAGGGGGAGGAGCCAGGGGACAGCCAAGCCATCAGCCATCTGCAGGGACAGTGTGGTGCCAGAGGAGGTGAATGCCACCCCTTTGGGGAAGCCCTGGAGGACCGATCTGGAACTTCAAGTGGGTTGGCTAACAGTCCCCCTGTCCGGGTGCACATTTCGTTTGCAAGTCAGCAAAGCGTGGGCTTGTCACTTATAGGTAGCACCATGGGTTTTTTCCTGTGCGCATTCGTCCCGGGGGCAATGCAAGGGCGTATGAGGGAAGAGAAGAGATGCTTGGTGGACCAAGAAATTCAGAGCAGTGGTCACAACATCGCAGTGCTTAGTTGAGAGGTCAAGGGGCTTGGGCTTGGCCTGATCTCAGCTGCAGGTCAGCCAGGTGAGGAGCAAAGCCCTGCAGCAGTGGGTCTCAGAGGGGGAGGTGGGTCTCCATAAGGAGGAATGGCCTGTGTACGAGGCACATCCTTACATGTAACATCTCCTGGAGTGGGACTGGAACTTGCTGGCTGAGCATCTCTTCTGCAGGGAAAAGGTCTTAGATGCAAACCTTGGCATCCCCGTGTACGTAGGACTCGCAGCTTGGAAAGACCTGCTATGGCGACCTATAGCTGTGGCCAGGCAGAGGAAAAAATGTTGGACTTGACGGACAAGCAGCCCATCCTGGTGTAAGGAGGAGCAGGAGCTGCTGATGCCCACGTCCCCTGGAGATCTTGCTCCAACCGCTTTCTGCCCTACCGTCCGCAGCATGAAGTCTGGAAACATGTGCTGTGCTGTTACATGGAGAGAAAGGCACTCCGCATGCTGGGTTCCTTCCTCAAAACCAAATATCTCACTTGGACAGTGAGCGTGCAGGGTCAGGGGGGACCCTCGGCCCTCCACAGACGATCTGGGACCAAGCCTCACCGTAACCATGACTTCATCAGGTGGTCCCTTGGGTAAGCCGCTCCTCCAGCCCCCCAAAAAGGTACAGCCAGAGAGGTCAACGTGACATGTTTGTAAGGCTCGTTGAGGCAATGAACATGAAATGATATTTATTGTGGATGATGAGGAGCAATACACTTGATGAGGTGCCCCACTCTCACACTGATTACTGGTGCTGGTCTACTCACGTGAAAGAATCCCCCCTTTGCTTGCGAGCGAGTCCCGTCTGTCATGGGAGGAGTGTAAAGCTGGCTCAGGGTCTCTCCCTCCCTTTCTGTGGCTCCCTTTGCCTCCGGGGCTGAGCACCAGAGTGGGCAGCACACAGGGAGCCCCCTCTCCTTTGTGGGATATGAGTTTACAGCACCCGTGCAAAGAGCCCCCTGCCTGATCACCCCTGGGGAGCAGAGTTGTCACTAGGCGACCATGCATGGAATGTCCTTAAGAGTTCTTCTTCTTTGAGCTCTCTGCCAACAGCAAGCAAGAGTGGGGCTGGCATTTTCATGAAGGGGTACCCCATGGGTACCCCCAACCCTTATGCAGACCCATTGGCAATGCTGCTCGAAAGAAAGACCCAACAATTGTTGTCCCGGATGTGAGAAGTTCACCCTGGTGTGGCTGGAGATCGCCTGCTCCAACGGACCTTTCCAGGCACGTGGGCAGCCGTGGAAGGAGCTTCTCCACAGCAAGCATGTGGCAACGCCGAAAGGTGACCCGTGAACGGCTGAGGGGCCCCGGCTTTAAAGTATGCACTCATGCTTCTCCGTGGCCTTCAAGGCCTCGTGCATGCTCGCCGCCGAGAGCCTCCTGTTGATGTTGCGGTAATTGCAGCGCAGCAGGTTCCAGAACGTGGTCCTCAGGTCCCGGTTGAAGAAGGCGTAAATCAAGGGGTTGACGAGGGAGTTGGCGTAGCCGAACCACAGCAGTGTCCGCTCGAGCCGCAGGGGGACGCAGCTGCACCGGCTGCCGCAGATGAAGGGCCTGGCGGTAGACATCAAGAAGAAGGGCAGCCAGCAGAAGGTGAAGGCCCCGACGATGATTCCCAGGGTCCTGGCGGCCTTCTGCTCCCGCTTGAAGATGGAGATGTTCTTGCGATCTTGGCACAGGAGCTTGGAGAGGGTGGCGCACTCCTCCGCCGCCTTGAGGCGCTTGGTGCTGTGCTGATGGCGGAGGCCGGCCTCAGCGCAGCAGGCCCCGTCCTGCTCGTAGGCCCTGGGGAAGTCCACGAAGCGGTGCTTCTGAGCGCTGGCCTTGGCTGCCTTGTAGATGCGGTGGTACATCGCGAGCATGACGGCCATGGGGATGTAGAAGGCCACCCCCGTGGAGTACACCGTGTAGCCGACGTCCTGGCTGATGAGGCACACCCGCTCCACCGTGACGTTCTTGGCCCAGCCGAACAAGGGGGGCAGCGTGATGGAGGCAGAGAGGAGCCAGACGACAAACACCATCTTGGCCATCAGCTTCCCGTCTTGTCTCACGGGGTACGTCAGAGGCCGGGTTATTCCCAGGTACCTGGAAAGCAGTTTGCAGGTTAACAGGTGGGGCACGTTGATGACACCCACTTCTATGGCCAACTGGGACGTGCTGGGAGTTGTCTGACCACTTGGGGGGTCCTCAGGTTGGGGAAGGCTGCAGCAAGCTACATCGCACCCACGCAGGGCTCTTCCCCAAGGCGGGGGTGGGATCAGCACCTGGACGCAACTGCCCCCAGGGGTTTCATGACCAAAAAGAACAAAGCAGTTTATGCTACAAAAAAACAGGGGCTTTAACATACACAAGTAATCTATTGTTTACAGCATCAACAAGAAAGATGCAAGAGGTTGGACCAGGTGAGAGTTTCTTGCTCTGGTCAGCAGACTCTGGGTTCTTTCTGAGAAGGAGCAAGACTGAGAAGGAGCTGATGGCCCCATGCCAGTAATTCATTATTATATGTTATGCTGCCTTATCAGCTGGGAAGCCATCATGGCCCTGTGTAACTATGTAAACCCATAGCACCTTGAAACCATTAGAATGACATCAATAAGGACCATTAAAACATGAAGGAAGTACATTGTCTGAAGAGGCATAGGGTTAGCTGGTGTCCCCCTTCTGAGCCCGGAGGCAACACTCTGTCTTCATAAGGAGGAGTCAGGGATAAGAACGCAGGAAAAGCCCTGCTGGATCAGACACCAGGTCCCTCCAGTCCAGCACTCTGTTCACTGGTGGCAAACCAGCTGCCCTCAGGATCCCTCCAGCAGGATGGGCGCGAGGCCTCCACCTGCCCAGCTCCTCGGCAACTGGTGGCTCATTGAGCTTGAATTTCCCTTGAGGCTAAAATGCACAATGTGAAAGGCTAAAGTCAAAAGACCTTTCCTTGCCCCTCTCCAAAGGCCAGGAAAAAGGGGCAACCACAATTCCCAAAGGAACACCTGCCACAGTTTGGGGGCACTGTGGGAGGAAATCCATTCACGCGAGCTTAGCAAGCAGGAATCTGTGGGTAAGACACCTTCCAGGGGGCCCTTCTTGTGCACCTGAACACCTGAGAAGGTTCGTGGTGTGACCAAGCCCTGTTTTAATCTTTTGCTCCCTGTTCTCAGGTGAGTCATTAAGGGCTCTCTTCTGCTCTCCAGCTCAAGGATGCAGCTTAGCTCCCTGGTAGGGACATCTGGTTTCCCCCAGTGCGTTCTGTTGGGTCTTTGGAATGGCTCCTTCCTCTTCTGTCACTCAGTTCCCTGCGGAGGAGGGCAGGTCAGTTCCAACGGGGCAAAGCTCAGGGAACCCAGGTTCCATCTGGATGCCAGGAAGCACTTCCTGACAGTCAGGACCCCGAGGGTGTGGAATGGGCTTCCACAGGAGGTCGTTGAGGCCCCATCGGTGCGGGTGTTCAAGGATAGGCTGGACCTGCACATGGTGGGCATGTCGTGAGCGGAGCTGGCTGGTGCTGGAGGTCAGACTGGATGGCCTGGGAGGCCCCTTCTGACTCGCTCTGTTTCTCATTCTCCACCATCTCACTGACGTTCCCCTTTCCCAACAGGCTTGCCTGTCCTCCTCTCTCTGCAGCTGCCTCGTTTCTTTCCCTGACCTTCTGAAACAGCCTCAGCTGGGCCTCTGGACTGGCTCCTTGCCCGTCAACTCTTCCCCGGTCCTGCTTGACTTGGCCTTGCTTTTCTTTGAGCAGATTGCCAGGTCAGCTGGCAACTTCCCAGCCAGTGCCTCAGACTCTGAAAGATGCCTCAGGGACTGGTCCTGGAGAGCTTCCTTGTCCAGCATTGCAGGGAGGCATCAAGGGGGAAGCCAAGCTAGGCATGATGGGCTCCCCACAGCTGTAAGAAGCACAATTACATTCATGTGCCTCAGCGAGCACAGAGGGTGCTTATGGTCAGGTTTCAGGAGTGGGGAAGGATCTGAACCCCTGGATCTTGCGATTTCTGGACACGAAGCCTGAACATCTGTTCAGCCGCCTCTGTATGATATTCCAACGGTTAGTTGCTTCTGCATTCTAGATATTTTTCAAAGGCAACAATAAACTCGGTGGCTTAACATGGGAGACTGCAGGCTTTTGCTTTTCACCGCCGCACTGAAGGGCAGCACTGACATTTTAGATATGAATAAATATACCGGCTCGCCGTATCTCTGACTTTATGGCTCCTCCTAACAGGAGCTTCAGACATTAAATATATGCAGATTGGAATTGACTTTGACTTCCACACGGCTGCCCTTGCGTTCACAGACAGCGCTGTAATCCACGTGGCGGATGATAAGCTGTTCCTTTCTATTTTTGCTCAGCCTCCGTTCCTTTGTTAAGGGAAGGCTTTAAAACAAAGTCAAATGTCCTGGGAATTAGCTCCATGGAGGGAGCGGAGCGGGGCGGACAAAAAGCGTCAGGCAACGCCGATCGTTTGGTCAATGTGAGGGTCTTTGCTGGGTGGGGGACTGTGGTGGTACAGCTGGTTGGACTGCAGCTAGTTACAATTCGTGGGGCCCACATTTGCCTAGGGCAACTTCTAACAGGTGGTGGTGGGGGGGTGACTCCTAGCTTAGTGGGGCTCCTTATCACTGCAGCTGTTATTCTGAGCTTTATGCTGAACACCATCTCCAAATAGATTCACCAGCAAACAGCACCACAGAGAGCTCCTACAAGGCTCAGACGAAGGTTCAATGGATGAGGAGCCAGTGTGAGGGCTCCATATCCATTGCAGCTGTCATCCTGAACTTTACAGGAGCTAGCCACGGAGCTGGAATCTACCTCCAAAAGAGGTTCGCGGCCATGCAGGACCATGGCCTGGGAGGCATCAACCTCCCCTATCATCTTCCAGAACTTTAAGAGGTCCGCTCCAGAGTTCAACACCTATCAGGCCCAGCCAGGGCAAGCAATGGTGAGAAATGTTGGAATTGTTGTCCAAAACGTATAGTTTGGTTGAGGAAAGCTCCCCTTGCACAAGACAATGATCATTGCACAAGACAACAATCGGAGGATGGAATGTGCCTGAATGCACAAAAATAACATAGAAACATAGAAACAGAGCGAGTCAGAAGGGGTCTACCAGGCCATCTAGTCTGACCCCCGGCTCCAGCCGGCTCTGCTTGTGACATGCCTACCATGTGCATGTCCAGCCTCTCCTTGAACACCCTCACCGATGGGGATCCCTAATAACATTAGGGATCGTGTGAACTTTTGGCTTTTTAAAATCATATCACCATCATATGACCAAAATCGGCACATATGGTCATTCAACTAATATTTTACCCACTGCAGGGTTTAGCAGCTGGTCAGAACAAAGCGCAGTGGAGAGCTTTGCCTTCCTTTTCCAGGTTCTCGTCTGAGCCTACTTCGGTTTGTTTTGAATTGTGTGAGTGGGGCTGCTTTAGGCTCTTTAGGGAACATAGAATAATAGAATAGCAGAGCTGGAAGGGCCCATGAAGGCCATCGAGTCCAATCTCGTGCTGTTGCAGGACACCAAGTCACACCATCCCACTCAGGTGGCTGTCCAGTTCCTTTCTGAATGCCTCCAGTGTGGGAGAGCCCCCCACCCCTCCAGGCAGCTGGTCCCACTGTCCCATTGCTCTGACAGTGAGGAAACCTTTCACAAGAAGCTGCCTCTCTGTCCATGTGGGTTTAGTGCTAAACTGCAGGCACTCCACATTGCATCCGCCTTAACCACGTCCTGCAGGAACATCCAAGAATTCATGCTGAGTCCCATCAAAAGACTAGTTTTAGCAGTTTGCATCTCCATCCAGAACGTCCTTTCAGGAAGCTTATGGGTCTTAATTTCCTACTCAAGGCCAGGCCACCCCAAAATACCTTGCATGAAGCAGCACCAGCTCATCACTATATATCGGTTGCTGCTGGGGAACTTCCTTCTCTGGCACTGCCATGCAATGCAGAGGAAGCCGGAAAGGCCGTGGGCAGGGGGACAGAAGGCCTCGTGCTCCTTGCGGAGAAAAGAATCTGGGCACCTGAGCCCATGAGGCCTGGTTGCACTATGCCACTGCATCTTGCCCCCCCCCCCCTTTGGCCTGGGGAAGAGAAGGCCGAGGTGGGTGCCTGGGAGCCGACCTCACGTTCCCAAAGTGCCACCACATGGGAGAGGCCCGTCCTAGAGGAAAGATGTGAAGTCTAGAGGCATGATTAAAGCCGGAGGGGCACCCCATGGCCCTGCAGCAGTGCCTGGATGTCTGTAGGACTATTTGGCGCCCCGGTACTGAAGTCCTGCGACTTCCCAGAACTGGAACTCGGAGCCCGGAGCTCTGGTCTTGCTCCCCGTGCAGCCGGTGTGGGAAGAGCCGTGCTGGGTCATGCTTGGAGGGTGGGCAGAGGAGGATGCCAGGGGTCTGGGTGGAGGGCTAATGTCATGTCCGGATGACGCCCGCCCCTTTCCCATCCTGCCCCTCGGTGCTTTGTCTCAGCAGCAAATCGAGATGAAAAGCGAGGCGCAGGGGGCAGGGTGGCCGAAATCCAGGGTTTTCCTCCCCGAAGGTCTTCTGGAAGCATCGGGATAACTGTTGCCTTGGGGGAGGGGGCTTGGCTTTGTCCCTCAAGCAATTGGGGGGGGGGTCCCTGTGTTGGACTAGATAGTAGGGCTAGGCAAGGTGGCTTCTGTGAGCCCCTGTATGCCCTTCAGCTCCCTTTGGGCATCCGCCAAGGTGCTCTATCTCTCCTACTTTAAACACCCCCCCACCTTTTCTTACAGGCAGCCAGAGTTGCTGTGAGATGCATTTCTGTTGGTGCTGAGCACTTTGAGGGATCCCTGAAGGAGCGCCTTCTCCCCTCTGTGCCCTCCCGCCCCTTGAGATCTGAGGCAGAGGCCCTCCTCCGGGAGCCGTCCTTGAAAGAGATCAGGAGGGTGGCTACCCGGAGCAAGGCCTTCTCTGCGGTGGCGCCCCGACTGTGGAACACGCTCCCAGAGAGGTCTGCCTGGCGCCAATGCTTCTTTCCTTTCGGCATCAGTCAAAACCCTTTTTATTCTCCCAGTATTTTAATTGTTAACCTGTTTTATTTAGTGGTGTTATATTTTAACACAGGATGCCTTGTTACTCTTATTTCTATTTTTATTGTATTCTATTAATCTGTTGTAAACCATCCCAAGACATCTGTGATGGGACGGTATAGAAAAGTATCGAATAAATAAATAAATAAATAAATAAATAAATAAATGGGCATTTGTGTGGGGGCTCAGCCCCACCTCTGCCTGGAACTCCATCCTTTGGCCAGGTCACTGGTCCTTGGCCACGCCTCCCACAGCAGCCATTTTGTATTGGTGCCCAGGGCAATTTCTGAGATTGCCCGATGGGCCCATGGCCCAAACGGTGGTCTGCCCCCTGGGTCTCGCACTTGCTCTACGGCCCGTTGGGAAGCATGAGGTGGTCCTCACCTGTCCACGCTGATGACACAGAGCGTCATGATCGACGCGGTGCAGCACATGACATCCATGGCGATGAAGACGTTGCAGAAGACCTCTCCGAAGAGCCATTCCCCTCCCACCAGGTCTGTGATGATGACGAAGGGCATGACGGCAAAGGCAACGGACAGGTCGGCAGCCGCCAAGGAGACCACCAGGTAGTTGGAGGGCTGCCGGAGCTTTTTGACGGTGCACACCGAGATGATGACCAGGCTGTTGCCGGCGATGGTCAAGAGGGTGATGATGGAGAGGACGGTCCCGATGACTACCTTCTCGGTATCGCCATACAGCAGGATATCCTCCCCACAGTCTGTTAAGTTGGTGGCATTGAGGGGTGGTGGGCCTGGTTCAGAGGGCGTGGAAGGTCCGTCAGTCATGAATGGAGCCGGGGTTCACCTCTGGGTGAGATGCTGTCCCTCCGGGTTCTCCAAAATGAGATGCTGCTGCCCTGGACATGGGCTGGACCTGCTTAGTATGCTCCCAGCAGGCCACCATGTGGAGAAGAGGAGCGAACCAATCCCACGGCTTGGGGTCAACGTCTCCTGCTGCAAAAATAAGCAACCGGCCATTAGATGCAACCAGCGGGGAGCGTGCAGGTCAACACCACCATCAGTGCTGTAGGGTGAAGTTTGGACCACCCTACACCAAGGAAAGCCCCAAAGTTCCAGCAGCGGCTTTGCTCTACACCCACAAGACCATTCCAGCATCTTTCATCTCCACTGGGAGCAGGTCTCTGGGAAAGGAATGTGCTTGAATCGCCCCTTTGTCCCTACAACAGGGAACACCCCGCCCAGCTGTTGTAAGGGCTGCAATGAATCTCAGAGAGAACAGCGAATTTTGTGGGGGGGGGGGAAGGCAGATCCTGGAGCCATGTCCCCGCGTGCTCCTGCCTCCGCACGTCTTGCTTGCAACACAATCTACAGACACTGCTCACACACACACAGTCCCGGCAACTGCCGGCTGCAGCATTCCTTCCCATTCACCTTTTGCCTCCAAGAGCACACTGCTGAATTTGTCCCTGAGCTTCCTCTGCTGAGGATCTGAGGAAAGGCCGAGCACTCGGAAAATGCTCATCAGCTTCTCGTAACATCTCAGTCGCTGAACCAGTAGTGAAGGAGGACGCATTCCTAGCAAATGAAGGCATTATTCCTGCAGAAAAGCTCACACAGGTGAGGCTGCAAACAGGGCAACCTGCAGCGATCTACGTAGCTGAGTTGGGAAAGGTAAGTTGGAAAATAACATTGATTTCTGACAATGCGTGTTCTGTTCTTCATATTGCAGACCATTTTTGCTAAAGCAATGAGCAGGACTCCTTCAGAATGGATTCTGCCCAGGGTATCTGTCTGTGCTTTCTTTCTCTTAGTTAAGACAGGCTATGCAAATAGGCCTACTCAACTTCTTCATCCCTGCTCTTCCCCTAATAGTCTTTTTTTTTAGTTTCCCCAAGGGCAAGCATTTCTTCTTCAGTAACTTAAGAAAAAGGGATATAATACACTGTAAGGCAATTTCCTAACTAATCTTAGTGGAATGGCTGGCTGATTAAATTTCAGCACATTAGCAAATGAGTCCAAGCAACCTTCCCCAAGCAGAAAAGCTAATCACTGAAGCCCTTCTTTCCAGTGTGAAATGCTTTTAAGTGGCTGCAGTGGCCACGTGCAATTTTTAGAAACCGTTTTTAGTAGATCGGAAGTGCTGATACATGTTATCCAATTAAAATCAACTGGACGTTTCAGCCCTTATGTCATTGTTGTGGTTGGTTGTGATGTGCGTCAAGTTGCCTCTGACCTATTGGAGACCCTGTGAACGAAAGCCACCCCCACCCCCAGTGTCCTGTCCTTGATAGTCCCACTGAGATCTCCTTGGATGGAGGGTGGGGGGGACTGTGCATAGCAGAAGCCAGAAGAAGCCACTCCAAGGCACTCAGGAGAGCTGAGTTCAAATCCTACTTTGAATGAGAGTTGACAGTGTGTTTTTTTTAAAGAAACTGCCAACCTGCTTTGCTGTTAAGTACACTCTCCACCCTCAAGCAGGACTCTGACCCTCAAATGTTTTCAACTGTTGTTCATACAAAGCACCCTTCCCCAACCCTGTATTCTCCATAGGACTACAATTCCCATCAGCCAGCAAGAGAGGGGACATTGCTCACTAGTGGCACATCAGCTTTGCATACAGGAAGTCCCAAGTTTGCTCCACGGCTGCTCCAGCTGGGATAAGAGAGAATCTTTCCAGAAACTCTGCACAGCTGTTGCTGCCAGTCAGTGCCGACAATACTGGACTGGATGGAGGAGGGCTTGGACTCCATATAAAGATGCTTCTGATATTCCTATGATGATTGGGGCTGCAATCTGAAATGTCTGGAGGGTTTCCGGTTGTGGGAAGGTCCCAGGGTATTATTGTTGCTTTTGTTTCATTTTTTTTTTTTTAAATTGGCACACATTCTGGGATCCCCCCTTCCCACAGCCTTCCTTTGCAAATGGCAATTGTTAGCACCATAGAAATAGCCTGGCTGGAGAGTGTCCATTGTGTTCTTACACAGATTCCTTCCAATTCAATGGGCGTTCCCCGGAGAGCGTCCTTCTGGTTGGGCTTTCTATCTCTCAAAATTCCATCAGTTTCTCTACACCATTATTTCCCATTTCCTAAATAAGTTTAGCTTCATTTTTCAGTCTCTCCCATATTTTATAACGGGTGCAAACAGAGCTTATGTTATGTGGTGGGGCAGTAGGGGTACATTGCCATATAACTCCCCCCCCCCCAACTCTTACTTTTCATGGTAGTCTCTCTAGGGTGCAATCCAATGTATGCTCGAACAAAAAAAGTCCCACGATATCACCCAGAGGATGCTAGGACATGCGGGATTTTTTTTTTAATGCATGGGATTGCATCCAATACTAACCTTTCCAGAAGGCTTGGAAAGGGTCAGATGGCTAAAATTGGAGAGAGTTAATTCCCCCACACACACATGATTAAAGCATTACATTAAAGTGGTCGGGATAGTATGGAAAACAGAATAATATTGGATAATGTAAATATGAGAGGCAGTGTGGTGTAGTGGTTAAGAGCATGGGACTGGGACACAGATGATCTGGGTTTTAGTGCCCGCTCAGCCATGGAGCCATCTGGGTGACTTTGGGCCAGTCACAGATTCTTGGCCCAGCCTACCTCACAGGGTTGTTGTTGTGGGGATAAGATGGGGAGGAGAATGATGTGAACTGCCTTGAGCCCTTTGTCAGAAAAAGGCAGGATGTAAATTGAAAAATAAAATAAATGAATAAATAAAATATATTCCAGTATGAATCGATTCACACCCCACACAGAGACATTACTTTGTCTCAAAATAGTCCCAGAGAAAGGTAGGTTGTTCATAAAATAAGATGCGATGTTGGATATGAAGAATATACAGATTCACATAATCGAGAGAGCGGAAGGAGGGCTCTATCCTAGAATGTAAAGAATCGGATACATTTGTGCCCCAATTTTATTCTTTCTCTACTTCCTTTGTTGCTTCCCTGCAGCTGCCAGTATCCAGATTGGAAGTTCCTTGCAGGCAGAGGCCTCAGCTTATATTAGAGGGATTATATATGTATTAAACAATGTGCTCCATTGCTCCCACTATGCATGAAGGGATCCAATAGGCATATTAATCCTCAGCAACCAACTGCTGAAGAATGTACATTAGATTTAGGAACAGTTTTTAAAACACTGATCAGGCTGGGTGAACTGCCCTTGCGATCTGTGGTCAGAAGAGAGGGGATTTAGTCTTGTGAAGGGATGGTTTTTAAATGGAGAGAGAGGAAGGGGTGTGTGTGTGTGTGTGTGTGTGTGTGTGTGTGAGAGAGAGAGAGAGAGAGAGAGAGAGAGAGAGAGAGAGAGAGAGCGCGAGCGCACACTTGCAGAGTTTAGACTGGGGGATCTCAAAGCTTCCTTATTCTCTTAAGGCAGGGTGTTCCTCTCCCCCAAAACTGCAGACACCATCTTCCCAATTCCATGACTTCAAAGCCTGGGGCTCGGAGACAAGCCAAGCCGGGAAGCTGGCATGCCCATGGTGTAGATCAAAAGCACCCAGGCGCACCTTGCCACCTCTCCCACCTGCAGAGTTCTGCCTATTCTCGTGTGCCTTCTTTAACATCGCTCCGGGGTAGTTGTCCTTTTAAGTGCTCCCTGTTTAGAACTTCATTTCCCCTGGGCTGTTAACCAACCATCCAGCACTCTCACAGAGAAGTACTTAAAAAAAGATTCTTTTAAGCCTCTTTTCTCTTCTCCACTAAAAGGCTCCAACATCAAATGCCTAGTGAATGTTGCAGAAGAAAGAAATATGCCTTCCACTGTTCACCTCTCCAAATTTCCTCTGCAAAAATGTCAGGTGGAGACTGGTTCCCTCTCTCCCCAGATGAGCTGAATAAACCCTTCCTCAAAATAATGGGAAAAGTGTTACCTTGAGCATAGCTGGAGAGAGGAATCAGGCAGGAGATGCCCTTGGTCTGGTCTCCTGATATGGACATCTTCTGCCCAGGCTCGGAGTGCCTTGTAGTATGGCTGACCCTTCATTTGCTAGGATGACAAGAGGACCGTCTCTGCCGCATCCCTCATCCCAAAGCAGGAACCGTCCCACAGGGGCTCCGGGACGCAAGCTGGTGACTTCAGCATCATCCCTGGTGGCTGCCTCTAATGCTGGACCACGGTCTCAGATCTGCCACAGCAGGAGGACAGGATGCAGAAGGCAGGATCCTTCCCCCCTCCCCTTCTCACCCTCACAAGCATCATTCCTAGTCCTCCTCCTCCTCCGGCGACAGACTCAGAGTGAGTGGCAAAGCAACACCAGACGGAGCTGCTCTAAGAATCTGGGAGGACAGCTTTGCAGAGCTCAACCCCCCCCCCCCACCATCCTCCGAACAGAGAAAGGGGGTGGAAATCAAAACAGGGGCAGTCTGGATTGATCTACTGCCTTCTGAAGGGGGAGCTCCCCACCTGGTTTTGCTGTGGGCTCAGAGGGGGGAATCTGGCCTCCCCTGCACACAGTCATCTGGGGTACATGTTCTGTTTGTTCTTGAGACGGTAAATCTTGAGCACGGTTAGCTTGGGATTCCTTGCAGCAGCAACACCCAAATCAACCAAGCATCTTGTTGAACCATAAAGCCTGCCAAAGGCTTTGGAATGAATGCGTCAGCCTTGAAGGTGCTACAAGATCGTGTTTTTTCCATTGCGATAGATTAACACAATCATCTTTCCAGATAGTAGCATCAAGATCATACTGGTAGATTTTGGGAAATGTGGTTAGTTCGATCCATGCAATCTTCCTTCTTCAAGGGAAGAATTATTTCTGTTTTGTTAGTGACCTCTGACTGTGCAAGGACAAATTTGAACAGTAGCAGAAAACCAGGTACTTTGCCAGATACAAAGCAGAGCTTGTCCTGGAAGCAAAAATGAAAAAACTGAGGCTGCCATATTTCTGGTACATCCTGAGGAGGGAAGACTCCCTGGAGAAGTCCATCCTGCTAGGGATAATGGAAGACAGAAGAGAAAGGGAGGACCAAACAGGAGGTGGGTGGATTCCACCGAGGAAGCTTGC